TAAACAATCTCCAGAAAATAGAAAAGTTTATTTTATGAAGCTAGGATCATCCTGATACCAAACCAGATAAAGACAGCACAAAAGAAGAAAGCTGCAGATCAGTATTCCTTATGAATACAGATGCAAAAGTCCTCAACAAAATACCAGCAAATAAAATCCAGCAATATATAAAAGGAATTATAGATGCCATGACTCCATGGGTCTCTTCCAGGGATTTAAGACTGGTCCAATATATGAAAATCAGTTAGTGCAAGCCACCATATTAACAGGTGAGAGAAGAAAAGGCACATGGACATATTGATTTGTACAGAAAAAGCATTTGACAAAATACCACACCCATTCATGAGTTTTAAAAATTATCAGAAAAGTAATAATAGAGGCTTGTTCAACTTATTAAAGAACATCTACAAAAATTTTACAGCTAACCTCAATCTTTTTTTTTTTAAAGGATTTTATTTATTTATTTGACAGGGAAAGATACAGCGAGAGAGGGAACACAAGCAGGGGGAGTGGGAGAGGGAGAAGCAGGCTTCCCGTGGAGCAGGGAGCCCGATGCGGGGCTCGATCCCAGGACCCTGGGATCATGACCTGAGCCGAAGGTAGATGCCTAATGACTGAGCCACCCAGGTGCCCCTCAATCTTAATGGTGAAAGAATAAATGCTTCATCTCTGATTGTAAACAAAGCAGGGATGTCTACTGCCACCATTTTTATTTCACATAATGCTGGAAATTCTGGTGAGTACAATTAAGCAAGAAAAAAAAAATCATATGGAAATGTCTCTATTGGCAGATGATGTGATTGTTTACTTAGAAAATCTCAAGGAATCTACAAAAAATCTCCTGGAATTAATCAGTAAATTCAGCAAGATCACAGAATATAGTCAACATACAAAAATCAATTGTATCGCAACATACTAACAATGAACATGTGCAAATGGTAGTTAAAAATACAATACCATTTATAGTCACTCAAAAAGAGAAAGAAATATTTAGGTGTAAATCTAATAAAACATGTATAGAACTTTATGATGAAAACTAGAAAACCTTGATGAAAGAAATGGAAGAACTTAATGAAGAAACATACCGTGTTCATGGATTGGAAAAGACAACATAGTAAAGATGTCAATTCTCCTTAAATTGACATATAAGTTTAATGCAAATTCTATCAAATTTCCGGTAAGGTGTAGATATAGACAAGATTATTAATAATCCATATGTAAAGGCAAAAGAATTAGAATAGCTAAAACAAGTTTAAAAAAAATAAAATGGGAAGAGTCGCTGTACTCAGTTTCAAGACTCATTACATAGCTACAGTAATCAAGATTATGCGGGTGGAGGGATAGTTACAGAGATTGATGAAACAGAGTTGAGAACCCAGAAATAGACACACTAAATGTCCAATAGATTTTAGACAAACATACAAAAGCAATTTATTGAAATAAAAGTAACCTTTTCAACAAATGGCAGTGAAGCAGTTAGACGCCAATAAGCCAAAACCAAAACCAAAACAAAATGAACCTTGACCTAAGTCCTGAGTCGTATATAAAAATTAATTCAAAATAGATCACAGACTTTTATGTGAAACATAACACTATAAAATTTTTAGAAAAAAATAAGGAGACTGTCCTCTTAATCTGGGGCTGAAGAATAGTTCTTAGACTGAGCACCAAAAGCACAATCCATAAAAACAAAAACTGACAAATGGGACTTCATGAAAATTACAAGATTTTGCTCTGTGGAAGACCCTGTTAGGAGACTGGGAAGACAAGCTGTAGACGGAGAGAAAATATTTGCAAGCCACATATCCAATGAGAGACTGCTATCTACAATATGGAAAGAACTCTCTGCACTCAACATTTAAAGAACCCCAACAAGTCAACTAAAGAAATGGCAAATGACATGAACAAGTTCCTGAAAAGGATATAAAGCTGGCAAATGAACACATGAAAAGATATTCAACATCATTAGCCAGTTGAGGATATGCAAATGAAAACCACAATGAGATATCACTACACACCTATCAGAATGGCTAAATAAAAAAGAGTGACAGCGCTCAGATGTTAGTAAGGACAGAGAGAAACTGGATCATTCATAGATTGCTGGCTAAAATGTCAAGTGGGACAACTACTCTGGAAAGCACTTTGGCAGTTCTTTAAACAAGAAAGCACACAGCTGCCAGCAATTCCACTTCTAGAGAAATGAAAACATGCGTTCACACAAAAACCTGTGCACTGATGTTTGTAGCAACCTTATTTGTAATAGTCCTAAACTGAAAAGAATACAAACATTCTTCAACCATGTTTAAACAAGCTGTAGTACATCCATACTATGGAATACTACTCAGAAATGTAAAGGAATGAATTATTGATACATACAGCAACCTGGGTGGATCTCAGATGTTCATACCAAGTGAAAAAAAGCCAATCTGCTGAAGTTTCCATTATTCCAAATATTCATCTTTTCATCTTCTATTTGTATACCATTGATTCTATTTGTATATCATTCCTGAAATTCAGTACTATAGAACTGGAGAACGGGTTAGTAGTTGTCAAGGGTAACCAAAGAGGTGGTGGTGAGAGTAAAATGGGTGTGACTATAAAAAGGCAACTTGAGTCATCTTCGTGGTGATGGATATACTCTGTACCTTGACTTCATCACTATCAGTGGCCTAGTTGTGATAACACTGGATAGTTTTGCAACATGTTTACACTAGGGGAAACAGAGTAATGCATACATGGGGTTGCTCTGTATTATTTCTTATAATTGCACATTACTCTATTGTTATCTCAAAATAAAATGCTCATGAAACAACACACAAGCACCATTTCTACAACATACTGTATGCACTTGCCTTTGCTTCATAACATCCAGACATTGCACAAAGGAGGACAAAAGCCAAGCCAGTAAGACAGATACACCCCCACTGCCATAGAATTTGTAACATCGGACATGATCATTTGTACAGTGCACTTTTGCCGTAAGTTATTTTAAATACCTTGCATCAGCAGTTATGTCAATTCTTCAGTGTGTTTGAATTTGGCTGTTCTACACTGTGGTCCAGGTACCTATATGTGTTACATAGGCCACTTTCCTAATGGAAAGTTAAGAATTCTTATTTGTACAAAACTTAAAACAGTAGAAATTATTCATCTTCTAAATATTGATTAGCAAGTAATTGTAGATAAGTAATACTGGAAAGTCATGCAGACGTCCGGATCACCAGTGTAAGAAAATGAGACTTCACTGTTTGGTGGCTTCATGGTTTTCATGCCCACAGTTGCCTGATGGAGCCCAACAATGGGTTGTAGGAATGATCATGTGCCATTTCAGGGGCACCTAGAAATGACTGCAATATTGGAGTAGTGACAAGCATAATGTTTTGAAATACTTACAGTAACTGTAACAGGATATGAAAGTATGGGTGACTGCTCCAAGAACGTACATGTTGGATGTGGTATTGTAAAGTTAGTGCCAACACAGGAGGAAATGAGAAGGAGAGGTTGGAAGGAAGATGTTTATTATACTCACGGGTCTGAGAGGGGGGCCTCTGCAGGCCATGGAGGGCCACAGGGAAAAGCACTGGTATCAGTCAGGAGGCAGAAGGTAACAGCCAGAGAAAAGCCTGTGCCTGAGCCTTTATTGGGGCTTCCTCAGGAAAGGCAAAGCAGGGCAGGGAAAACAATTTAGGATTGGCTACTTTGAATAATTCTTTTCGGCTTTGGGCTATACAGGTGGTTTCGGGTTGCCTGGTACCTGGCCTTGGAATGATTTTGGGCAGGGGAAATACTGGTGTGTGAGCATAAGATAAGGAAGTAGATGGGGATATAGACTGAAGATTGGTTGGTTTGCATGTGAAAGATATGCTTCTGGCTGGCTGAGCCCTTCACTCTCTCCAAGAACTGGCTAGCCCTGGGAGGGCAGTCTCCACCCAGTAGTGAAGCCTCCCAATAAAGTCATGGACTTCCTGAAATCAAACTCAGGACTAGCGTGTGTTTGTAGGCTGCTGGTAATCTCATAGAGGGCAGATCTGATGATGTGGGATGACAGGAGGCATAGACATAAAATGAAGAGAAGGCAAGAACGTAGAATCCATAACACAAATGAGGGAGCACTGGCATTTCACAGGGGCAGGACCTCTCATCTGTGCTAACCTGGGGTGAGGCACAGAGAATGGGTACAAATGTGTATCTTTGCAAGATTTGGTGGTAAGAAGTTGTGAGTGCTTTTACTTGATTGCCTGAGTTTCCTAGTGAGTTAGAAAGCAGGAACGGTAGGTATCTCAGAGTGGAGAGGGTTGGTCAGGTATCCAGGGGAAATAGTAATTTTGGAAAGTGAGAAAGTGAACACATTAGAGAGCTTTTTAGGATTGCAGGACATTGTTGAGTGACCACAGATTTAAGTCAGCTGTTTTGTATCTTTTTCTTAAGGGTCTGGAAATATCACAAAACTGAGCTAGAGGTTGCTCGTAAGCCTACTGATATCTGGAAAACAATGTTTAAATATCACTGTTTGACATAATTTCTAATAATTATTTCTAGGGGCGCCTGGGTGGCTCAGTTGGTTGGGCGACTGCCTTCGGGCTCAGGTCATGATCCTGGAGTCCCGGGATCGAGCCCCACATCGGGCTCCCTGCTTAATGGGGAGTCTGCTTCTCCTTCTGACCCTCCCCCCTCTTGTGCTCTCTCTCTCTCTCTCATTCTCTCTCTCAAATAAATAAAATCTTTAAAAAAAAATAATTATTTCTAATTATTATTTCCTACTACAAGAAAGGAAGTTTCAAATAACGATCAAAATGAAGGTTAAGTATTAGGACAGAATAAATTATGATTTGTATAATTTAGATTTGGCTGAATCCAGCAAAATTTATAATTACTTATCATATATAATCATAATAATTTGTATCTTGACTATAACTTCAGCATTAGGGTTCTTGCATAATCCATGGCCCAATAACTTATTAGAAATTCTTACTAATATCTGTATTTGTGTTATCTTTCAGTATGGACCAGTATTTACAGTCTTTGTTATGGGCACCCGAATGACCTTTGTTACTGAAGAAGAGGGAATTAATGTGTTTCTAAAATCCAAAGAAGTAAATTTTGAACTAGCAGTGCAAAAGCCCGTCTATCGTACAGGTAAAGAATATTTTCAGATAGTTTGTTTGAAATACAACATCGGAGTCCAAGAGTAGCTTTGTTAACAATCATATCCTCGCTCCTCTATCAAGAATGTTGACAGCCCCTTCCTTATTTTACTCTTTAAAACCGGGATGGAAGGTAGAAAGAGTATCTGATGAGTTTGGTCGTTGAAAAACAAATTATTGGCAGCCTCATGTAAGTCTTAATTAGATGTGGGTAAGAGATGAGGTTACCCCACTGCTCTTTATTTTGGAAAATATTTGGAATCTGTATCCTGTTACAGCTCCCAAGATGTCCTTCACTCTGCTCTGCTGCTGTGCAGACAATGCTTCACAGGCTATAGCTCTTGGCTTGATCACATGTTGCTACTCTGTTCACTGACAGTAGAATTCCACTGCTTAGTACGCCCTTTACTGTGGCATTTCCTGACACGTTCCATAGGGCTATTAAGGTAAGTGGGGCTTGGCCTCATGTAATTGGTGGCCTTTTGTTCTCCCTTGTCAGAGACTGCTGGATTGTATTTGTCAGCATGCTTCCGGTGTAACTGTCCATTTTATTTCTTCCCAGGCTGCAAACATGCGGTGCTGAGGCCATTTGTCCTCCTAAGAATGGGGAGCTGTTTCATTTTGGTGCCCGATTCTTTCTCTGCTTCCCTAATGTCTGTGCTTGCTTCTGTTGTCTATGGCTTCTTTCTCTTGGTTTCCTTTTTGGCTTCTTTCTTAGGTTCCTCTTCATGTAGCCTCTCATGCATCTCTTGCCATTAAAACAAAACAAAACAAAATTTTAAAGCTGTCAGTGACCAAGAACATGATGGTTATTTCTTCTTGTCCGCATGAAGATCACAACATGTTGGTTAAATTCTTTGACTATTTAGTGCTTCTCGGTATTTAAACTATGGAATTCCAGATCAAAGAATATAAATATTTTGAAGTCTGAAGGCTCTTGATCTGTAAGTTCACATATCCCTCCAGAAAAATATGCCAACTTACTCACCGATCAGGGATGCATGGAAATGATCAAGTTTTTTCACCTCTGCCTCCTCTGGGGATTTTCATGTTTAAATATTTCTATTTTAATAGACAAAATATGTTAATATGTGCTCTTGAGCCAGCCTCCCAGTCCTCTCATATATCCCCCTACTAAGGAGAAGATGTATGTTTGGGAAATCGAAATATTATTTTTATTTTTATTTATTTATTTATTTATTTTGGAGATTTAATTTTACATTTTTTTATTATGCTATATTAATCTCATACATTACATCATTAGTTTTTGATGTAGTGTTCCATGCATTGTTTGTGTATAACACCCAGTGCTCCATTCAGTACGTGCCCTCTTTAATACCCATCACCAGGCTAACCCATCCCCCTACCCCCTCCCCTCTAGAACCCTCAGTTTGTTTCTCAGAGTCCATAGTCTCTCATGGTTCGTCTCCCCCTCTGATTCCCCCCCTTCATTTTTCCCTTCCTACTATCTTCTTTTTTTTTAACATATAATGTATTATTTGTTTCAGAGGTACAGCTCTGTGATTCATCAGTCTTACACAATTCACAGCGCTCACCATAGAGCATACCCTCCCCAATGTCTATCACCCAGCCACCCCATCCCTCCCATCCCCCACCACTCCAGCAACCCTCAGTTTGTTTCCTGAGATTAAGAATTATTTTTAATTAACTTATACAAAATGTAACCTACACATAATAGGCTGACGAACTAGAAAACTAAAAACTATTTTTTGAAAAAGTTACTTTACAGACAATAAGACAGGATTAAAGAAAAATACAAAAGAATAATGAGTTTAAAAACTGATACTCTTACTAACCAAATTCAAGCAGGAGTGTGTATCATGGAAGGAACGTGAACACTAATACAAAGGAAGTAATGGAGCCAAAGCTCCTCATGGGGTTAGGAAGTGTAGACACTTGAAGGAGAAATCAAAGTTAGCAGAAGAAATGTGTGGCTTGTAGTTGTGGGTGTGTGGGAATGGGGTGAAGTTGGTCAGGGAGAGAGTGTTTTGAGCAGATAGAATGTCTAATAAAAGTACTGAGGAAATATGAATATAAATATTGGAAATATCACACTGTACCTGAGATACAAATTTGCGGGGAGAAGGGTCTGGAAATATCACTGGAGAACTAGAAAGATGGTGGAAGGCCTTGTGTAAACTTTGTTAAGGGTAGGAAGCCAATGAAAGCTTTTAAATGTGGAAATAAAAATCACTAGATTTGTGTTTCCCAGAGGCCCTCCTAATCACCCATTTGTAGATCACCCCTGAACGTGAATTTCCCTATAGACTTTTACTATCTCATGGGATAGGTTGAATCTTTGCCTCCTTTTACTTGCAGGAGGTGATTTTATGTACTGGGAAGACTTTGGCTCCAGTCCCTACTGACCAAGTAGTAGTATAGGTAGATTGACTGTTTGCTTCAAGGAGTTGTTGCTTCTTTTGAAAATAGTTTTCTCTGTTTATAGCGTCAATTCCAAAGAATACTTTTTTAACACTGCATGAAAAGCTTTATATCATGATGAAAGGGAAAATAGGGACTTTCAACCTATATCAACTCACTGGACAACTGACTGAAGAATTAAATGAGCAACTGGAGAACTTAGGCACTCATGGGACAATGGAGCTGAACAACTTAGTAAGGTAAATAGATGCATTAGTATTATTTGATCTTGTTGGTTTTTGTTTTGGGAGGTTTTTTGGAATAAAAAACTTTGAAGCCTGTGCATTGAACTTTAAAAATTATCTGGTGGATTAATGAAGTCTATCTAGCTAGGTAATTAAGAGATTATATTAATCTTTTACATTTTAATTAATGGAGCAATTTTTCATTAGCACTCCAATTTTAAGGTGAGCCAATACAATCATTTTAATACATTTACAGTAATTTCTCCTCAGTTATTTCATGCCATGTAGAATATACCTACCTACAGGGGATGCTGAGCGACAGGTGAGACAGGGAAGGGTGCTGGAGGGAGTCAAGTGGCCTCAGCCATGTTCTGAAGCTTTCTGGCAAAGGTAAGGGCTGGGCCTAGGAACCTTGAGAAAAATTCTTCCAATGCATTAGGAGATTGGGTAAATTGAAGTTACCAGTTAGGCACTTTTCCATCTCAGTGGGATACTGGGATGCTGAAGGCAGGATTCAATAGTTCAGACTCATAAAAAGAACAACAGTTAATATTTTTTTAGAGGTCCAGAAAGAGAGAGAGGAAAAAACCAACCAAACAAACAAAACAAGGCAAGCAACCAACCAAATTTTAGTGTGCCCAGTATCTACAATAAAACCAAGCAAATTCTTGGCTATCTTTGAAACTTTGGGGGAAGGAGATCCTGAAAATTTTCTAGTGAGGAAGGGATGGCAAATAAAACTGAAACAAACAGTACTCAGTGTACTAATCTAGGTCATATTAACAATCTTTGATATTCTTTCCCTTATGGATGCCACAGTAATCATTTTTCACTTATGGCAAAATGTAATGATGATAGGTACTATCCTTCAACGTGTAGTAGTTTAAATCTGTAGGATCCTGTGAGAGCTTGGCATATTTGGTAACTAGTATTGCCCTGATTCTTTGGCTCTCTTTTGCTGCTGTCTAAAGTCATGGACTGTATCTTAATTATTGCTATTATTTGCTAAATAAGTACTCGTTGAAATTATATTGAATCAATTTATTTCTGCACATCATCTCACGTTTGTCAGGATCTAACAATGCTTGCTTAGAAAGCATTTTAAAATCTTCAGATAAATGAACCACAGTTTCAGTTACCCCTAAGTTATCTTGACCACAGTAAGCAAATATTAAAACCTTTCAAGAGTGACTCTTTCCCAAAAGAATCTGCCGCATATTATTATCTACCCCTAATATATAGCTATTAAATAATGCCCTTTATTGTGTCCTTTGCCTTTCTTCTTTGGTCATTGGGTCTGACTTTCTATGTGTTTTTCTTTGTAGGCATCTCCTTTATCCAGTCACAATGAATATACTCTTTAAAAAAGGTTTGTTTCCCACAGACGAGAGAAAAATCAGGGAGTTCTATCAGCATTTTCAAGCTTATGACGAAGGTTTTGAGTACGGATCCCAGATGCCAGAACGTCTCCTAAGGTAGAGAGCTCTTCCCTACAATTAATTCACTGACCAAGCTCCTCCCAGCAATTCATAACCGTCTCATTTCCCTGTCATATGTAGAGAGAGCAGCATCTACGAGGAAGAGACAGAAGCTACTTCTTAAGACCAGTTTGTTTTTGGTGTGTGTATGACTTGACGAAGGAACTGAAGAAGAAAGATGCATTATTTCCTTTTTTTTTTCTTATTTTGAGGAGCAAAAATTTAACAGGGAGTAAGAGAGAGACAGAGAAGATATGAGAATGAAACAAAGAATTTATTTTGAGGCCTTTTATCCTGTTTACTGCTTATTATGATCACATTCATTGCTATAGTTTGGAACCATGCTAAATCATCAAGTGTGACCCGTGGTTGTCCTTGTTCTCCCTGAGACAAAAGGAGGTGTGGTCAAATGTATTTTTCACAGCAGCCTCAGGGGTTTGAATGTAAAATAACACATGATTTTTTAAATGTCTTAGCAGTTGGTCTATAGTGGTGACTGGTCAAAAAATATGAAAAAGATCATAGCCAATTTGCTTTACCTGACTTAAGCCAGCACCTGTCACTGTGCTAGTTCTTCATCCTCCAGGAACTGGTAACAGCCAGAGTAAAAGTAGGACAAGCAGGTCATGGGCTCTGGTTTTTTGTTTGTTTTTGTCTTTGTTTTTTATTCAATGCCAATCCTATAGGGATTCAAACATTTGTTTGCAAAACACCCCACTAAGATGTGGCTGCCTACCCCCTTGATTTTCCTTGTGATCTAGTAAGTCTGAAGGTAGACCTCGAATGAAATTCTAGAAAAACTGAAGAAATTTGGAGAAATAATTATAATTCCATAGATATTCCCCCTTTAACGCCATGACCTGTTATTCCTGATGTGCTTTCACATTAATTTATGCACATGTTTTTTTCTTGCCTAGAAACTGGTCAAAATCCAAAAAGTGGCTTTTAGCACTTTTTGAGAAAACTATTCCAGATATGAAAACATATAGATCTGCAAAAGATAATTCCATGGTAAGTATCCCTGAGCTTTTTTGTTAAAATATGTGGGATGAAAACAGTAATAAGCTATGATTTTTAAAATAATTTTTTTGTCAAAAATCATGAGATTATTTAGGTAACATTTTGTGTCAAGTACTGTGTTGGATTTCTACACTATTCTATTAAACAACCTCATAATAATGAGGTAGGTATTAATAGTCTTCTACATAAGAAAAAAACTAAGGCTACAGACAACAACATATAACAAGGTGCTGAGGTTTTTATTGATTTATATATTATACAGTTGTGTCAACAGTGACAGGTGGGAGTTATGGCACATTAGACAAGGATAGCAGAGCTCTGCAAAGCAGACTTTGTTCTTGATGCCACTACCACTAATTATTTCTCTTTTCAAATAAAGGGAGGTAGTAAGGTATAATTTGAAAAGCAAGGCACTGGAAGCCACTGTTCGAAGTGTCCTAGGTCTGTGGTTATTCAGGTGTGGTTCCTAGACCAATGGTACCAACATCGCCTGGGGACCACTCAGTCAGAGCCTCTGGGGTGGAGCCCACCAATCTGTGGTTTCATAGGCCTTCCAGGTGGTTCTGATGCTTGTGTAATGACAAGTTCTCAACCCTGCCTGCTCATCAGAATCTCTGGGAGCTTTTGAAAACTACCTGATTGTCCAGACCCCCTCCCCACCTCGGAGACTGGGATTCACTTGGTCTGAATACGGGCTCAAATCTAGTCCCCAGTCTCATGACCTTGGGCATGGCACCTGGCCTCTTGGCTCAATTTCTACATCTACCTCATAGAATGTGGGGATTAAATGAGTTAATATTTGTGAAGCAGTTAGAGAGTAGTGAGGACTACATAAGAGTTTATACCATGTGTTTATCATTAAAAATCAGACCTTTTATTTATTTTTTTAAAGATTTTTATTTATTTATTTGAGAGAGGAAGTGAGAGAGAGAGAGAGAGAGAGGGTGTGCATGCATGCACAAGCAGGGGCGAGGGGCAGAGGGAGAGGGAGAAGCGGACTCCCCACTGAGCAGGGAGCCCGACACGGGGCTCCATCCCAGGATCAGGAGATCATGACCTGACCCGAAGGCAGATGCTTAACCACCCAGGTGCCCCCAAAATCAGACCTTTTAGTATTTATAGATGATATCTAGTGCTTTTGTTCACTTGCCTTTCATAATTATAGCAAGTGTTATCACAAGCAACTCTACCTAACACTGGAGAGGAAGATTGCTTCAGAAAAAAAGGGATGTATGAATGTTTAGATATCTCCCACCTGAATAAAGGGAATAGAAAGCTACTCTGGAATGCCCCACATTGATAAACAGTGTTTCAGCTAAGGATTCTATTTTACAAACAGACCCTGACAAACACATTTTTGTTTGCATAATTTTCCAGGATTTAGGGGTGAAGAGGCATGTGTATAAAAACTGCACCCAGATAGATCTGTAATCGATGGGCCTGACAAACAGGGTTTTTAATGCCCCAACTAAAACTCTCCACTGACAGTACTTCTAGAGTAGCATTTCTTTTTCCTACTCTGAAGAAATGAGGCGTTTTTAATCCTACGTACTCTCTCTATTTGAATAAAGACAGATTTTGAAGTTTGCTGAAGCTAATCCACTGTTTAAGACTTTGGGACAGAACTCAGTTTGAACATTCAGGAGCAGTTTTCATTTTTTTATGTATCATTTCTGTTTCTTCCAGCAGTATTCACACTGAGCTTGTGTTTTGTACCCAATTTTTTTTTAAATGTGGTCTAAGAAGAAAATAAAAGATTCTGTTGTCTTCTGTATAAGTAGATTTCAATGGCCTAGTTAAGCAGAAGACTGGAAGAAGTTTTCGTTTTTTGGAAATATCACACACACATTTCATCACACCATAAACATCAAGTGTGGTGATTTCTCCCTTGTTATTCTAGATATGTATTAAACTAGTGTTTTCATTTAAAACGAACATTTCACCAGAATAGCATATCCAGAGAATGAAATCCATGTATAGGATTTTCCATGAGATGTAAACTTGGTGTTATAATAATTTATGTTGTATGATAGAAACTAGCAGTAAATAAAATTTATACTTAAATGATTTTCAATTTTGCTAGCCCATTGTTACAGTAACAATAACAATAAGACATTGCTAACACTTATGGGGAGCTTACTCTGTGCTAGGCATAATATTACACATTTCACAAATTCGTGACTCATTTATTTTTCACAGCAACTCTAATACCCAGCAAACTGGGGATTATTAAAACCAGAAAGCTGAGGATTAGAGTGGTTAATCACTTTTGAAACACTACATGTCTTTGTAAGTCACAGTGCTAGTCTCTCATCGTGTATTTTCTTTGATGGTGATTTAACAGTTGTTTCATGTATCCTAAGATCTGAAGCAAAACTACTACATGATGGTACAATACAATTCTCTTAATCCCTAATCCATGAGAGTTGTGGGCTGTCTCTCTCATGGGGCAGTATAGGACAGTAGCTAAGAGTGTGGGCTCTGGAGCCAGGGCCAAGCTCACAGAGTTTGAATCCCAGCTCAACCACCGACAAGCCACCTGTCCTGGCAAAGTTCCTTAACTTAACTGTGCTTCAGTTTCCTCAAATGTGAAATGGTGAAGATAAAAGTATCTACTTCTTCGAATTGTGCTGAGGATTGAATGGTTCGATACTTGCAAAGCACTGAAAACAGTACTTGCCTTCGCAAGCAATGACTAGGCATTAGCTGCCATTATTTTTATCACCTGAACCTGAGTTATTTAAGATTCAAAATACATGAGTAACTTAATGAAAATGTGTCTGAATTTCTTCCCCATGATGGGGAATGACCATTGACAAAGGTGTGACTGGGAAACCTCCCAGTGCAGATAAATCTTTCATGGAATTTGTGTGATGACCTGAGAGCAACCATCAGTGGCCTTGGATGGGGCCCTGATCTTAGTTGGCACCATTCCAGTCAAATATCACTTCTCTGCATATTGTAGTATTTATACCATATCCTGGCTTGGCAGTGCTTTCTCCATAGTGTATAGGCTGAGAATCTTCATGGCAAATGGGGGAAGGGTTGTCTCTGGAATGCTCCAGATATCTGTGTTTCTGTGTTGCTTGCATTTTCCTAAAAGCAGAGGCTTATTTTAAAAATTTGTCAAAATGATAATATGTACTAAGTTTTGTTTTAAGCTCTTGATGGGTAGTAACTGATTTAATTCTCACAACAATCCTCTGAGGTAGGTACCATGTTATGACCATTTTATAGATGATGAAATTGAGACACAGAGCTTAAAGTAACTTGTCCAGTGTTACCCAGGTCTTGACTAACTAAGCCAGGTTCTGGTTCCACGTGTGAGGATCTTGGAAGTTGCCACTCCATCCTAACAACAAGTACAAGGCTGAACAAACCAATATTAGAATTATCAGACTGGGACTTTAAAACAACTATGATTAATATGCCAAGGGCTTTAATGCGTAAATTTAGACAGCATGCCAGAACAGATAGACAATATAAGCAGAGAGATGGAAATCCTAAGAATGAACCACAATTAAATGCTAGATATAATAAACAATATAACATAAATGAAGGATGTCTTTGATGGGCTTATTTGTAGACTGGCAGAGCTGAGAAAAGAATCTCTAGAGGATATATCAGTTGAATCTCCAAAAACTGAAAAGCAAAGAGAACAAAGACTAAAAAAAGAACAGAGTACCCAAAAACTATGGAACTGTGGGACAACTGTAAAAGGGATAGCATACATACAGTGGGAATACTAGAAGGAGAAGAAAGGGAAAAAGGAACAGAAGAAGTATTGGACACAATAATGACAGAATTTTCCACAATTGATGTCAGACACCAAACCATAGATCCAGGAAGATCAGAGAACACCAAGCATGTAAACACCAAAAACATATCATTTTTAAATTACAAAAAAACAAAGATAAAAAATCCTAAAGAAGCCAGAAGGAAAAAACACCATATCAATAGAGGAACAAAGATAATAATTATATCTGACTTCCCCTTAGAAACCATGCAAAGCAAAAATAGTATAGAGTGAAATATTAAGAGTTGAGTGAGAAAAAAAAAAAAAGAAAACACACCAATCTGGAATTCTGCACCCTGTGAAATTATCCTTTAAAAGTGAAGGAGAAATAAAGGCTTTTGCAGACAAACAAAAAATGAGGGAGTTTGTTGTCAGTAGACCTTCCTTACAAGAAATATTAAAGGAAGTTCTTCAGCGAGAAGAAAAATAATACAAGTCAGAAATTCAGATCTACATAAAGAAGGGAAGAGCATCAAAGAAGAAATAAGTAAAGGTGAAATAGAAATTTATTTTCCTATTCTTAATTGATCTAACAGGTAACAATTTGTTCAAATTATAGCAATACTATATTCAGATTATATACACACACACACACACACACACACATATATAGACACACACACTTATGTGTGCTTATATATAAATGAAATCATTATGTGTGGTTATCTGCATGCCTGTCTGAATCCTTTATCATATCCTTCTATAATAATAATCCAGTAAATAAAATGTTTCTCTCACTTTTAGCCAATTAACTGAACCTGAGGAAGGGGTTGTGGGAACCTCTGATTTATACAGCTAGTCAGCTGGAAGTACAGATAGCAGCCTAGACTTGCAGCTGGCATCTGAAGTCCAAGGAGGAGGCTCTTAGAACCTCCAATCTGTAGCCAGTTGGTCCAAAGTACAGGTAATAACCTGGGCTGTGACTGGCATCTGAAGGGCAGGTGGGAGGTGGAGAAAGGGTATAGTCTTGTAGGACAAAACCCTTAACCTACAGAACCTCATGCTAGTTCTGGGTAGATGGTGTCAGGATTGAGTTGAACTGAGTTGAATTATAGGGCACCCAGGTAGTGTCCTGAGTATTTTTATTGTTGTTTGGGACTCCTCCTTCCACATATACACACACATTAGAAATTGGTACCAGAACTCCAGAGCGAGGATGTCCTCTTTACCACTCCTTTTCAACATAGTACTGGAAGTCCTATGCAATAAATCAAGAAAGGAAATAAAAGTTACACATATTGGGAAAGAAGACATAAAACTGTCTTTGTTCACAGATGTCATGATCATATTTGTAGAAAATCCAAGAGAATCAACAAAAAACTACTGGAACTAACAAACAATTACAGCAAAGTTGCAGGATACAAGTGAATATCCAAAAGTTAATTGCTTTCCCATGTACCAATAAAGAATGTGTGGAGTATGAAATTAGAAACACAATGTGCCATTTACATTAGTATTCCCCAAAATGAAATACTTGGTATAAACCTGACAAAAGGTATATAAGCTCTGTATGAGGAAAGCTACAAAACTCTGATGAACAAAACCAAAGAACTATGTAAATAGATATTTTATGTTCATGGATAGGAAGATTCAATATTGTCAAGATGTCAGTTCTTCCCAACTCAACCTATACATTCAATGCAGTCTCAATCAAAATCCCAGTGAAGTTATTTTATGGATATCAACAAACTGATTCTAAAGTTTATATGGAGAGACAAAGACCCAGAATCACCAACACAATATTCAAGGAGAAGAACAAAGTTCTTCAAAAGAGCAATGCTACCCAACTTCAAGATTTACTGTAATGTTATAGTGTGGTATTGGTGAAAGAATAGACAAGTAGATCAATGGAACAGAATAGAGAGCCCAGAAATAGACCCCTTTAAATATAATCAGCTGACCTTTGACAAAGAAGCAGGAGGCAATATAGTGAAACAAAGATAGACTCTTCAACAGATGGTGCAGGAACAACTGGACATCCACATGCAAAACAAAAAAAAAAGAAAGAACACATCTAGATAGAGATCTTATACAATTCACAAAAATTCACTCAAATGAATCACAGACGTAAGTGTAAAATGCAAAAGTATAAAACTACTAGAAGATAACCTAGGAGAAAACCTAGTTTACCTTGGGTATGGTGATGCCTATTTAGATATAACATCAAATGCACAATCCATGAGAGAAGATGGAAGCATATGAAAAGATGCTCCACATCATATGTCTTCAGGGAAATGCAAATGAAAACAACCCTGAGATACCACTACACTCATTCTGGTCAGAATCTGGAACACTGACAACAGCTCACCTCCTGGTGAGGACGTGGAGCAACAGGAACTCTCCTTCATTGTTAATGGGAATGCAAAATGGTGCAGACACTTTGGAAGACACTTTGGTGGTTTCTTACAAAACAGAGCATACTCTTGCCATAAAATCTAGCAATTGTGCTCCTTGATATTTGCCCAAATGACTTGAAAACTTATGTCCACACTAAAACCTGCATATGGATGTTTATAATAGTTTTATTCATAACTGCTAAAACTTGGAAGCCACCAAGACGCCCTTTAATAGGTAAATAAACTGTGGTACATCTAGGGAATGGAATATTATTCAGCGCTAAAAAGAAATGAGCCATCAAGCCATGAAAAGACATGAAGGAACCATAAATGTATATTACTAAGTGAAAGAGACCAATCTAAGAAGGCTATATAATGTATGGTTTCAGCTATATGACATTCTGCAAAAGGCAAGATGTGGAGAAAGGAAAAAGATCAGTGGTTGTTGGGGAGGGAGGAGAGATACATTGGCAGAGCATAGAGAATTTTTAGGGCAGTGAAAATAATTTGTATGACATTATAATGGTGGATATATATCATCATGCATTTGTCCCAACCCATAGATTTTACAATGCCAAGAGTGAACCCTAAGGTAAACTATGGAATTCAGGTGATTGTGATGTGTCAACGTCCTTGATCCATGGTAAAAAAAAAAAATACCATTTTGCTGAATGGTATTGTTAAGTAGGGAAGACTATGCATGCGTGGGGATAAGAGTTATATGGGAATTCTTTGTACTTTCAATTTTATTGTAAACTTAAAATTGCTCTAAAAAATAAAGTCTTTAAGAAAAAAAAAAAAAAACGAAGCCAGGATTTGAACCAATGCAGTAAAGCAGTTGTGCTCTAGAGTCCCTATTCCTAATTACTATGCTACCGGTAAGTGTATAAAACCCTTAGCATGCCTCAAGCTGCAGACCTAGGAATGGCAGAAATAATATATTTGAGATTAAGGAAAAACTCACGATCTTTGTTTATTAACATCATTCTTTGTCACATAGCTGTGGTTTGATAAAATGTCTTTCTTTTAACAGACGTTAATGCAGGCTATGCTGGATATCGTAGAGACGGAAAGAAAGGAAGAAATGAGCCCCAATTATGGGCTCTTATTACTTTGGGCTTCTCTGTCCAATGCTGTCCCTGTAAGTATATTAGTAAAGTAAGGATTACACTTCTGTCTACTGCAATTTCAGTTTTTTTCCTTCATTATTCTTTCTTTTTTTCGGTCTTTTCACTTCTTGATTATGGGAAAGAAAAAGGCTACAGTGGATTTGGTTGTGAGCTAGAAAAACAAAACTGAATGCCTAATGAAATCTGATAAGATCACAAAGGAGGCAGAGCAAGATGTCAAGTGACTTCTGCCCTCTGCAAGGCAAGCCTGTAGTAGGCTAAGGGAAAAGCTTGCACCTTGGGGTTAGTTGTGACAACACCTGCTTATGGAGTACTTTCTTTGTCAGGCAACATGCTTAGTATTGGTGCTGCAAAGATGAGTAAGTCTTGACTCCAACATTTTACTGGGGAGAGAGTAGGTAAATGGATAGTCTGGGATAGAATTGGGCTTGAATCAAGATAACCCCCGCCAGAGCTATAGAATCTCATGGAGAGAATTTAAACCCTCAGCCTCCATTTCCTCATGGGTAACAAAGGGATAATACAACTCCTGATATGGTCCTAGGACTTGGGTACATAATGAATGGTAACCCTCCTTTCTCCACAAGGTGGTTGTGAGGATTCAGTGACATAAACCCAACTGGTGCCCAGTGAATATTAGTTCTTTGTCTTCCCCTCTACCCGTTCTCCTTCGGCACACTGTTCCTGTTTGTGTTTCTTGGCGTCTTGGTCCTGTAAGCTTCCCCATGAATGGAGCTGGTGACTTTGGAACTCACAATACTAAAGAGAGCAGACTTTTTAACTGTTTCTTTCTAAAGCTGTTATGAACTAGATTAAAGCCATGTGATATGTCTGCCCCTTCTTGCCTGATGCACATCAGGGAGGATCTCACATTAGCTTAAGCTGCACTGGTATTATTTGAGGAATTAAAGGGTGACCTTTTTTACATATTTGTTTTCTACTGAACAGGAATATTCAACCCATCTCTAATGATAAAGGTGGCCATTTTCTTTTTTCTTCTAACAAATAGAAATGAGATATTTCAGGTATTATTTATTTCTCCTTCCTCTTAGTGAAGGCTTTCTAAGTACTGATAGTCTAGTTTCTTTTCACGTGTTATAAAACTGATTGAGTAAAGAGCAGAAATAGAAATTCTGACCTCTCTGCTATATGTAGTTCATCTGGCATGGGCAAATAAAAATCGTCTAATCCTTTCCCCTTCTTTATGTACCTCTGATATTACGCCCTGATTTCTCTTTGCATTGCTTTCTTGGATACTGATTAAGCTATAGCAAAATGAAAAGGCGAACATCAGAACAGCTCCCAAAGCAGCAACAAAACAGCCACTCCTGTCACAGGATTAATTTTCAAGATCTCATTAGAGAGATCCTCCAGAAGAAAGGGACACAAAGCCCCATTGATCTGACTCATGGGAAGTCAGTTCTTTGGAATTTGTTCCTGGCACCGGCCTGAAAGGATTTAAATAATGAATTTCAGAAAGAAAGTGTCTGATGATTAGTGAGAGTTCCATTTTGCTGGCTGTCGTTGGCACCTCCAAGAAGCAGCTGGTGTGCAGGCAGAGACCCTGGAAAGGCTTTAGAGTCAGGCCCAAAGCCAAATCCCAGTGCTGGGTGACAGCGAGCCAAGTGTTTAACCTCTCTGAGCCTCAGTATTCTTATCTATAAAATAGGATGAATGTTATTTACCTCATAGGATGGTCATGAACATTATTATTTTTAAGATATGGAAAGTGGCTGACAGTCCCTTGAAGAAAGAAGGTGCTCAGTGAATGTTAGCTTTCTTCTTTTATAAAAAGTAAGGCCATCATTTCAATCATTACTTTCAATGGCCCATTAATAAACTGCCCTGACTTCCAAAACTGGACCACTCAAATGCCCCAGGGTGGGAGTGGCCACTGCTATCTGGCTTCTGTGATCTCCCATCAACACTTAGAGAACCCCAAAAAGCCCCGCCATTGGACAGGTGGTGGGGCCTGGCCTTTCTTGGTGCCCAGGTCAGGTTCTCTTCTCTCCCATTCTGGGCTCTGCCTCAAAGCCCGTGGAACTCAGAGCTAGGGCTTGAGGTAGTCTGGGGACAGGACAGATCACTAGAAGGCTCCATGGTGGTCGAGGTGAACCTTGGTAGACTGGCCCAAAATATTAACCATAATCAGTGAAATCATTTGTATGGGAAAACCATTTCCAACTTACAAGAAATTCCCGCCAAATGAAATTTTTAGGAACATTTTTCCAAAACGAGTTTCACCGCTGACATTTTATCTTTGTTATCGCTTCTCCCAAGCTCTTTCCGAATCCTGACCCCACGACCCCCCATCCCACCCCGCCTCACCCTCAACTCCCACAGCCTGTGTTGTCTGTCCCACCCATTGCCTGTACACTTAGTTCTTTTTTTCTCCTGATTTTTATTTCATATCCCCAACTAGATGTGAAAGTTCTTTGGGCAGGAATGATACCTTATACGTGTTTGTGTTTACCATGATTGTAGAAGACTGTCTGACCTGTTATAGAGACTCCATCAGTATTTGTTAAATCTCTTTTGAATGGAGGAATAAGTGATGCTGAAGAACATACCCATTTCATCTTCTCTTACTGGGCAGGGCTTTCCTCCTTGTCCCTTTCACCTTTGTTCTTACTCCAAAAGAATTGCAGTGGCTGCTTGTGAAGTTCAGTGAGCCAGGTGGCCCTTCTCCTTTTTGAGCAGCCCTCATAGACCTGACCCCTTTGGCAAAATACTAATTGCTACTTTGGGGAGCAATTTTTAACTGGGAGTATGCAAAGATCCCAAGGTCATTTATTCTTGTTTGTTTCAGTAATATATGTAAATTTCTTATTTACTCATACCTGTCTTTTATGTGACTCTTCTTTTTAAAAAAATGTAATTGAGGGGCGCCTGGGTGGCTCAGTCGTTAAGCGTCTGCCTTCGGCTCAGGTCATGATCCCAGGGTCCTGGGATCGAG